CACCCGTTTCATCACCTGAGGAGAATCGTTCCCTCACTTTAACATTGACTCCCCCTGATTCTTTCTCTAGTTCTCTCTCTTATACAAGGAGAGAAATATTGAAGAACAATTACGGAACATTTCACGTAATCCGCCAGTGAGAATCGTTTTCGGGGAATAAATCTGGAACTTTTAGTAAATTTTCGGCTTCTGTCACCGAAAAAATACGAAAAAGTCACGTAATTTCTCTGGAACTTGAAGACTTATTATGCCTCAGAACAGAGAAATTATTGGATGTTCCAGAACTTTTACGGAACGTTCCACAAAAATTACGGGACGTTCCGTAAAAATCCCCCCCTCACGGTGACTCGTAGCTAGCCGTGAGGCGTCAGATGGATGAGTAATTTTTACGGACCAGATCGTAGAGTTTATGTGATGATTGTGTCGCTTGCAGGTTACATGACATTTTCCGTAATTTTTCTTGAATATTTCTCCCGTGTACGCGAAAAATCTGTACGTGTACGCAAAAAACCTGTTCGTGAAACAGAGCGCGCCATCTAAAAGTATAGCCAACAGCCCTTCACTATTACGACAAAATGACCATCTCCACAACTTCAGTCTGCATTGATCTTGAAATATCTCCCTAAATAATGGAATTAGAAAAAAAAATATGGAACGAAATTTACGCAGTCGTTTTTTCCAAGAAATATTTTTTACCCCTTAGTTTCCTCCGTATTTGCAGCCGTTCCAGCTGGAAATTGATTCAAACCATTCAAAAAATCATGAAAGACTAAAATTCACACTGGTTTCGAATAAAGCCGCTCTGGAAGTATGTGATTCAAATTTTGAAAAAAATGAATTTCTCCAACGATATGCTAGTTACCGGAGTAAAGAAGCTTTTCATCAATAATAGTATATTGTAATAAATGTAGGAAAAATACTCGTATTTTTTCAAAAAATGTGGGCATTGTTTTAGATTTTTAGAGCATGGTTTTTTTTTCTAGCTTTTAGCTTCAGCAAAAAAAAATAGCTAATCATCGGCAAAATTGAAAAAAGTGAGACATTTGTTCTGAGTTAGCTAAGTCTCATGAAAAATCGCGATTAAAATCTGTGGGGTCGAGATCATAGGCTGGTCGAGTTGGCATGGAATACCCCCTATTGTCTGGCAAATTCACAACCATGCATACAGACGTATACACTTTGGTTCTGAAGTAGTTGCGTGGAGAAAAACATTAAATGAAAACTCTGTAATTTGTAATTCTTTCACCAATTATGGAATCAACAAAAAAATTAATTAGCAATATGTCAAAACTTTTTGCAATATGACAACTTTTCAAAGGAATTTTAGTTGAAAACTCTATGACCTAGTCTGGAAAAATTCAATGCCAGTTTTGTCTAATTTTCTTACACCAGGCTTAGCTAGGGATTTGCGGAAAAAAATACGTAACTTCTATTGATTATTTGTCTTCATGTACATTCGTTTGCTTCGATGAAGGAGAAAGATAATTATTTCATCCATAGTGTTGGCTTCAAAGTTTGAGAAAACAGACAAATAAATAAACCTTAGTAGTTATTATTTGCACAAAAAAAAAGTTACGGAAAAACTTAATTTCTTTTTTATTCGAAACTGACACTTGGTGAAGTGTGAAGTTAGTTGTTTTCTTAAATTTACAGAAGATTGACGATGAAAAGGGTGTTTTGAAAATTATGATGAAAGTCACTATGAAGAAATCATATTAGTACAGCAAAATATGACTTCATATACAGAATGTAACTAAAATATGTATTTAACATCGATTTTTAATTTTTGAAATGTGTAATAAGATCAATATATGATACTTTAAGGCATGTGTTTTTAATTAAATTTTTTTTTATCATCATTTTTTACAAATAAAGTGTTGCAGCGCTGATTACTCCTCACCAACTTGTAAAATACTCATAACAAATTTTTCACATACAAATACAATGGAGAAATATCGTGTGATATTTCAAAGGTCTGCTTAACATTCAGTGTCACGTAGTGCCCACGGTTTAATACATCAAAAACTCGGCAATCTACCCCCCGCCCCAGGTTCTTGCAATTCTGTTTTGTAACCATAGTTCTCATTCCGCCCATGCTATATTCTCAACGGGTATTTCACAGCATTCATTTGTTCCCCTGGATGGCCAGAATACCCTCTCAAGTACTGTGCGTCTCTTTTGTTTCGTGGAATAGCGAGTTCTGATTGGACCGTTCGCAGCATGGTGCCGGCCATGGCAGCCTTTTCCCAGGGAGTGTATATCGGGCCAATAGAATACTCGAGGGCGTTCCTGGGGCGGGGATTCACCGGTATTCCAACAGGCATTTATTATTATTATTCTTATGGGCATCATTGTTATTATCAGAGGTGATAGGTCAGTTGTCGAACTATGCCTTCTGGTGGTAAGGTAGCGTTTTTCTTAGGGTAACCGATTCAGAGACGCATTCAAACGACAATTGAGAGAGGGCGCTATAATATTACTCTGAAAATAAACTTGCGCGTATCAAAACTCCGTAGGTAATTATTTGAAAACATTTTCAGATACATCGGATGGGGATTCATTTTACAATTACGCCAATTCAATGTGGTAGAAAAAATGTAGAGAATCTTCAAAGGACTATAATTTTTAGAGAAAGTTTTGCATAGATTAAATCAATTAACATTTAGAATACCGTAGAAAAAAACTGGAATTCCATTCATTTTTTGACATCTAGTTACGTCACTATAATATTATAGTCTGATGGAGACTTGATAAGGATTAAGTGAGAAAGTGAAGTCAATCCAGTGAAATTATAATAATAGTCAGCAAATATCGTTGAATAATAATTACAATTTCAGAAACCAATTAGAAAAATAGGACAGACTTGATTTTAAATCATCTGGTAAAAAAATATCTTAATTTATCGTATTAATAAACAAAAATTCACTTACGTCTTGGAATTCTTAAACTCGTTATTAATTGATTAGTAATAAATAGCCTCTTCTACGATATATCTACGCCTGTTCATAGTTACACACAAGTAGAAAATCAAATAAGAATGCAATTTGATTGATACGGTCGATAAATTTCAACGTAACTAATAAGTCCACAGTGATTAAGTGGATAAAGTCAAACCCTATAAACTCGACGATTCCAAAATCGCATCTGAAGGAGTCCAATTTCTCAAGCATTATTATTAACAGCTATCGTATTCTTCAGAAAGAATTAGTTGATAAATGATTAAAAAATCATGGGTTATTTATTTTTTTCAATTACTAGAAATAAGTATTGAGCATCATATGGATGCTGTTTATTGGTCGATGCTTGCCAACTATAATTACGATCCGTCTTCACGCTCGGGCCCTACCGAAAATATGCTGATGCTGAAACGCAGAAAATATGCTCATAATTATGTACGACAAATTCGCACTTGCAGACTGCTAACAAAATGCGTTCTTATTGAAATAACAAACAGATTTTAAAGCCCGATGTAACGTGTTCTTCTTAACGAAATATTTTCAGATATCTCATAATTTATTTCGATTTCTGTCACTGCAATTCAAAAATACTATAAAAGCCAGTTATTAAGTTGAATTGAATATTTATGTCGTTAACTCTATCAGTCGGTTGTTAACGATGCTACATCACACGTTTGCGTTGCACGGACCCTGATGGTCTTGGTCAAAATTGACGTGATGATTGCGTCGCTTGCAGATTACGTAAAATGTTCCGTAATTTTTCTTGAATATTTCTCTCCGTGTAAACAGAACGTATTTGAAGAAGTCTGGGGCCTTGTACAGCTTCTGTATTATAGGACTTAATTGCAAAACATGTTACGATGTTGTCTGTTCTGTACAGATAATGTTAGTGTTAATGTGATATAATATGGCTGATGTCTTGATCTCAAAAATCATCTTTTTGTATCTCGCGTTATTCTTCAGCCTTGATGAACTTGTCGTACACTAATGTGAGGGTTCATATGCACCATATTCAGCTATTCCGCTAAGACCGTAAGTTCCTCCTCTTGATTATCTCTCCGCCAATTTCTTCCAATTTGTCGAATGACTCGATCTAAAATGTAAGGAACATGATGAGGATACGGTTGGCGAATCCACTATCGACTCAATCCATATCGAATCCAGTATCGATTCAATCAACATTTCTGCACTCTTTCAGTACTAATAGAATATCTGGAACTTCATTCAATGAATAAACTATGATTTACAAAACAACTGGAAAGTAAAAGCCATTCAAGTTCAAATGAGGAAGATCTTAAGGATGTTTACCCAAAACTGCGACCACCCTTAACCCTTTTTTCCTAATTTTTTCCTATATTATACTTCGATATCTGAGCTGCACGGCAATGAAAAGTTTAATCCTTCTATCGGGAGAAATTAATTTTTGAAAATCACTCACAGCAACCTGTGCTGTCCATCCCCTTATGAAAGAATTGTGACGGCGTGTACGCCAGTCAAAGAAATTGGTCGTTTAAAAATCCTACGTTTTGAAAAAAAACCGATTGTGATATTTTTAAGGGTATATAGATCCTATCGCTGGTGAGAAAAATTATGTTACCCGGCAGAATGAGCGAGAAATTTATGATTTATTTTTGAAAAAATCAGAAAAAAAGCGACCACCATTACGATTGTAACATATTGACAACATGGCTTCTGCAGCTGAGCAATGTCGACAAAGTAGATGACGATGAAACAGTAATGGCAAAAGTGAAATCGTACATAACTTAATGAAAATTCTCTCACTATCATATATATTAGGCGTATTTTTAATAGAGCAGATATCATACCGGAATTGATTGGATATCAATATACACGTTATTATAATTGCAATACTTTATTGAAATGGTATGGAGAATTCCTTCAGTGGCTAATATTAGTTGAATTGCAGTTTGGTTTATCATTTTCGGGTGATATTGAAAATAAAGAAGGATTAGTAATTGTTTTATTTGAGGAATCTACGTGATAAATACAAAAAAAATACAGTAGTAAAGTGGTGGAATGAAATTATCTTAATATTGAGTCATTTAAGTGGAAAAATGCAGAAAATGATTCTTCCAATACAGGTTTTCACTTTACTCCCAATATTTCGAGATGTTTCAATAAATAAAACCCACCATTCTCCAATAAACATTCAAGTTTTTTTCGGTTTTGTAACTCTGGGTTTTTGGTTTATACTCTCTGATAGGTAGTGAATCACACCATCAGGACCCCCAGCATTGCACATTTTTTCCAAGAGTTGCAGAGATAAACCGGCCTTTGCCATCTTCAGTCGCATTCTCTTTGTTAGATCTTTAAACACAGTCAACGTAGCTTTCCTTTCTTTTAATTTATGTCTGGCTTCTTTCTTTCGTACTTTTTGTTCATCAACTTGTTTGTTCACTTGACATTTATGTAATACACTTGCTCATTTATGTAATCACTTAGAGTTTTAGCTCCGCTTGTCAGGACATCATCAGGCAATTTTGTAGCTGTCAGCAACTAGCTCAAGGCCCGAACTTCGGCCAATGCATTATGTGCACTTAATGTAGTATTTTTACTTACGAAGTCCTCAACCAGAAATTGCTGTGAATGATTGCGCCCTCCCTTCCTCGCTGGATATTTCTCTCTATAAATTGGTGGAGTGTCGATGAATCCTTAGACTACAGCAGCAAATCGTTGGAACAGTCTGTGAGCCTTCATGTGAGCCATGATGATAGGATCATCAAAATTTAAAGAAAAGTCATAAGAATTAGCTACCTAAAAATAAATCAGATAGTATGACTCACTTAAAGCTATTATAAGCGAAGAGCAAAACTCCATTCTCATCTGCTCGTCCTTCCAGAAACGATAAAAATTTATCGAAAGAAGCCCTAATGGGTATCTTGTCAACTCTTTTCTCTCGTAAGAATAACTGTTCATTATCTATATATAATCCATGCACCATGGTTGCTCCTTGAGAAATTGGTTTGGATGGAATACTATAAGCATTGAATGTTTCTCCATCACAAATAGCAGCTACCTACATAATCGAATATCGTATTATGAAAAAGTTAGGTTTGTAATGAAAATTAGAAGAAAACTGGACGAGCTAATTTATTGTTCCCACCTGGAAAATATTAGATACTATAGAGCGACCGGTTGTTGCCAAATCAAAAATAACACTTCGATTTTTTCAAATCTCGTGGAGGTCCTGTTGATTTCAATTCAGTTTCTACAGTTTTTACTCATCCTGCTGGACAGTAAACGATTTAGGCAGAATATTTAAAAAGAACTTATTTTGTTATTATATGAAGTTACTGAAAAACCCAAGATAAGGAGAGTAATACTAAAAAAATCAACAAAAATATCAATATAATTTTCGGACTTTTAAAATAACACCTGATTTTTTTTTATTGTATTCTTCAATTAGGAGCTATTGTAGATTGAAGAGTCAGAAAGAGTAAGTAAGTCGGAAGTTGTCCCAAAGCATTAAAAAAAGTACTATTTTTTCATGGAATTTCCTATTTTTTTTTAATAATCAAATGATCACCAGCTTTGTTGAATTCAGATACCAAATCTGCCATGTTTTGGAAGTCGCAGTTACTTTGATATGAAGTTCCCTCTCCATTTTCAGTTCTAATTTCTCGTGCAGTTCTTCTCTTATTTTCTTTTCTCTTTCTTTTATACTCAGGTAATGTGTATATATATATTTTCCATGTAGTCTTTCGATTCGCAATATTTTTTGGTAAATTTACCTGGGGAGTGTTCAATTCTTTTATAAACATCAGTGATATATTAGGAACCCATATTGGTGTGCAATACAGTCATTATACTTCTCTGTCTCGACCTCGAGATCCAATTTGATTAGTATATTATGCAACACGTGCGTAATATATTTTTTGACTCGTGGGGGGTTTGTAACACGAGCCGAAGGCGAGTTTTACAATCCCACGAGTCGAAAAATATATTACGCACGCGTTTCATACAAAATTTTCTGTCATCGCGCCCGGAATCCGCGATTTAACCGAGCGAAGCGAGGTTAGAATCGCGCGATTACGGGCACCGATGGCATAAAGTAACGCATTACTATATGGTCTCACAGATTTCCCAAGCAATTAAAAAAATTTCCCGCTCCTAGTGCCACATACGTCACCTGGTCGGTAGTCTAGGGCTCTGTCTTCATTACGTTTTTCTGTGCGGTTTCAAGTAGTCCCAAAGATTTTTATTGATCAAAAACGAGAGATATTATTTAAATACGATAGAATAGACTACTCTCAACAGAGACGACGAGAGGATAGTAGCGGTCGGGAGAATATTCTACGGAAACTTCGTAGATTGGAAAAGGAGGTTAGATCTAGCAAGCCCAGGCATCATACCAGGAGGTATTCAACTTCAGAGATCAAGAGTTCTGATTCATCATATTCTCCAAGTTAGAGAAAAAGACGCAATGCGTCTTATTACCTCTCAGGTCGTCTCAGGGATGAACGCTCACCTAGCTTGAGCTCAAGTCAATACAGCGATAGGGCGTCCCGATCAAAGTCCCCTCGTATCAGACTTGAAGGAAGGGGTGATTCAAGACATCAACAGGGCTCAGACGTGGAAAACCTAAGAGGTAAAGGGAATGATGCAAATCTCAATCAGGTAATGCTGACGAGAATCTAACTCAAAAGGTCAATGAGACATCAATTACTAACGAATTCTTAAACGTCTTGGGAGAAATCCCATCTAATGAGTCAGAATTGGGTCCAGATATTCATAAGGCGCTTGAAGCAAGATGGACAATAATTTTACAAGAGGGATTGAAACCAGAAACTCGCGACGAGTTACTCAAAAAATATCCCACTGCAAGGAATTGCCTATCACTGAACCCCCCCCTCCCCCCCCTCAAATCCTGAAATTAAAGGTGCATTAGGTCAGGTTATATTGAAGAAAGATTCCTATCAGGTCCACACTCAAAATCACCTGGCAGCGGCTATGACAGCGCTAGCGACTGGAATGCAAGTAGCTCTGAAGGCTAAGGAATCCCTCGAAAAGCCAACGATCGATATTAATTACACTCAAATGATATTAGCGCTAAACGACTCCAGTTGGATACTGGCTAATCTGCATCACCAGATCTCATCAGCTAGAAGAGCAGTAATAATACCAACGTTAAATCCTTTGGTTAGAAAAGCTGTAAATTCAAATGACAAGGTTGATGAATTGCTCTTTGGTAAAGCTTTCACAGAAGCTTTGAAGGCAGCAGAGACAGTGGAGAAATCGTCAAGAAACATCACGAAGCCCAATGTCACACCAAAGCTACGGAGAGATTATGGAAGAGGCGGAAAAGGCTAATATCAAAAGGGGACGTCCACTAGGCCTTTAATCTCCAAGGGCCCCTCTAAGAAACCATCAATATCGAATCGGAACTCTCGGATGGAGGGGCACAAGTCGACGAGTGCTCATCAATCGAGACGATAAATGTAAGCAGCGTTGCTGGACGTTGAAAACTATTTTTCCCTCAATGGAGAGCCATGACATCAGATCCCTTCATCTTGTCAATTATAAAAGGTTATAGAATTCCATTTATGCATCACCCTCGTCATCACCCCCTCCAGTTGAATCAAAATTTTCATTAGAGGAAATGCAGGTACTTTCTATGATGATTACAGAAATGTGTAAGGAAAAAATGATCGTTAGTGTTGATTGATGAGGAAATTAGTATATATCTTCCTATTTTTTTATTCATAAACCTAATGGGAAGAAACGATTCATATTAAATTGTAACGCGGATATAAAATTCCCCAACGTCAGCTTCGGGAATTCGTAGGGAATTAGTAGTTGTCGAAAATAAAATTGTCGACTAGGAAAATAAAACCCAACCGAGAGGCCCGAGCCAATGAGGGGGCCCTTTACGTAAATTTGTCAAGAGAGTTGCGCAACATTCGGGCCGCCCTCAACGAGTGTGTAGCGTGAGGAAAATCACGTCACTCGCGCATCGGGCGAAATTAGAATAAGTACTCTCGCTCACGCATTGGGCGTTAATAAAATAAGTTCTCCGTGTCTATACTTATATTGTACGGCGATTGCCACTGTCTTAAATTAAAAAATATTTTTGTCAATTGAACTCTTGTGTTCTGTGTAATTGTCAACCAAGTCTAGGAGAGCAGTTCCCGAAGCAGTAAAAGTAAGTAGTCCGTGGTTCCGTAAATTCTCTCTTCTTGGTCTGATTGGTCTTCCAACGGTTTCTTCACGACATACGATGGGTGTTTGGAAAATCCATAGCTATTAAATCATAAATGAAGGTCTAATGATTACTTTAAGGGGGATTCCAGTCCCATAAGTTTTTTACCAACTCATGAATCTTGACGCAACAATCATGTTCAGTTATAAACGTATATAACAACGAAACTAAAAATCATTGATTAATGTTCATAGGAGCTGACCTAAGTGCTCCGGAAAATGTTTCAAACATAACTGACTTTGCCTGTATGAATAAAGAATAATCGATTAAAACATAGTATTCTGTAGAATTTGTCCATCTAATACATCACACAATTTAACAAAAAATTGATGAAAAAATTGACGTTTTGAATAATACTTCATAAGGAAATTAATAATTAATAGAGAACTGTAAGCAATACCCAGCATCCTATCACTGATTTCTTGCATGGCGAAAATGAATCCTTGCTCCTTGAAAATGACCATTCCTTAATAGAAATCAATGAACCAACGAATCATCTCATAATGAGTAGCTTGAGAGTTCTGTTGATTGTGTCGATTGATGCAGCATGGCAAAAAAGAGATTCAGGAAGATCATATAACAGTTTAAGTGGTTAGTTTAGGTTTTTTGAATGTTCAGGTGATATGATAAATGATAATCCAATTGCGAATAATTGTTTTCTAACAATTTAAATCTTACTAGACATTCATCCATTATTGGGTATTATTCTGGGGGTTACATGCAAGAGCAGATATTGTAATTTATGTAACAAAGGTCGTGCTAAGGATGTCCATCATTGTATTAAAAATTGGTCAGGGAGTGCTAAAGCGATTCATTCCTCTGGACCGCATGGGGCAAGGCGCATAGACTTTTGAGAAAATCGAGTGAAGATTTCTTCGAAAGGCTGACGATAGCGTATATCTTTCAACTTTGTCCCTCCAGGTAAGTTTCGATGTTTGTACTCACGACCTTCTTTGTGGAATCCGCACCAGACAGCACATTTGTTGCGATCTCCGTATACGCGTTGTACCACTGCCAGCAATGCACTCTCAACTGCTTTTGCATCATTTTTGTCCAGCTTTACAGCCATGCCAAAACTTTTTTTCAAGTACTCAATAAGGTCGGCTGAATCGTCATCAGCAATAATTGTTCCAATTTTAACATTTTCTTTACTCAAAAGGTGATTTTCACGACTACTTCGACTGTCATCGCTGGCTCCATCGCTTTAGCACTCCCTGACCAATTTTTAATACAATCATGGACATCCTTAGAACGACCTTTGTTGCATAAATTACAATATCTACTCTTGCATGCAACCCCGAGAATAATACCCAATACTGGATGAATGTCTAGTAAGATTTAAATTGTTAGAAAACAATTATTCGCAATTGGATTATCATTTATCATATCACCTGAACATTCAAAAAACCTAAACTAACCACTTAAACTGTTATATGATCTTCCTGAATCTCTTTTTTGCCATGCTGCATCAATCGACACAATCAACAGAACTCTCAAGCTACTCATTATGAGATGATTCGTTGGTTCATTGATTTCTATTAAGGAATGGTCATTTTCAAGGAGCAAGGATTCATTTTCGCCATGCAAGAAATCAGTGATAGGATGCTGGGTATTGCTTACAGTTCTCTATTAATTATTAATTTCCTTATGAAGTATTATTCAAAACGTCAATTTTTTCATCAATTTTTTGTTAAATTGTGTGATGTATTAGATGGACAAATTCAACAGAATACTATGTTTTAATCGATTATTCTTTATTCATACAGGCAAAGTCAGTTATGTTTGAAACATTTTCCGGAGCACTGAGGTCAGCTCCTATGAACATTAACCAATGATTGTTAGTTTCGTTGTTATATACGTTTATAACTGAACATGATTGTTGCGTCAAGATTCATGAGTTGGTAAAAAACTTATGGGACTGGAATCCCCCTTAAAGTAATCATTAGACCTTCATTTATAATTTAATAGCTATGGATTCTCCAAACACCCATCGTATGTCGTGAAGAAACCGTTGGAAGACCAATCATATTAAAAGTGCAGCAACCATATTTTTTTCATTAACAGAAGTACTGCATTCCGCCATTTAACAAATTGAAAATACCAGTTTTAGTGTGTTAGGATAGAAAGAAGTGTCAAAAATGATTGCTTCCGTTACTAAATTCCAGGCCAATAAAAAAAAATTCAGAACGGTTGAAAACTGAAAATTGAATGCAAAAAACAATTTTTTTTAATCCGCATTCATTCAATTAGGGTCAAGCGCATAATAATTATGGGTTATCAAAAAAAAACCAAAATTGCAGTTGTTGTTAACAAGACCTCCTCACAATTAATATCATTCACAAACTGAAATGCTGTTGATACTTTAGAACCCTTGGTCGAAACCACAAATTCTTTGCATTAATGAT